AAAACCCCCTTGTGTAAAATTATCATTTGATCCACGTGACAAAAAATCCGGTGATTTATGGTAGGGTAGTGTATATAGTGTTAGCTGCTGATTTATTATGGATAAGCTTTAATTAATCATTCCATAGATCTTTTGAACATTTATCCCTGCTGATTAAGATTTCTACGTCGTCAATCGTTTCAAAATCTACATGATAATAAATTGAGTCATTCGTAACTCGCTTAACATTAATGAAAGACTGTTAACGGCAATCTGGTTTTTCTTTGCGAGAGCGTTGTTGTAGTGCCTTTCAGATAAAAGGTAATTCAATGAAATATTCGTTATGCAGATACAAAAAGTACGCCGTCAATGGAATGCATCGGACATATGATAAACAAATCTTTTAAATGTTGCGGTATATCATCCAGAGACGGAAGCGACGATAATTTAATCTTTTATTATGATAGAGTTGTGTACAGTACCAATAACGACAGAAGTGATGTGATAATTATAGAGGACGTAGATATAGTTGAAAATAATTATACGACATATTGGTCAACAATTGTCAGTCTTAACCATAACTATCTGCATAGCTGCATGAATATCAATGTTTTGAAATGGATATATCTTTCATAAGCGATTTATAGCAAATTTAATTATTAATTATTATATAAAATAGATCGATTGGTCTTGCATGATAACTTTTGTTGAAGATATTCTGTATCGTATATACTGTATACCTGTACTCTGTTTGGTACAATGCATATACGGGTACTTACCAGAATATAAGACCCAGTACTAAGCAAAAAGGTCGTTAGAGAAGCTCGAGCAATCTGCTGAAAAATTTTCCGATAGTGAGGATGATGTTACTATTTTCTATTTATTTGTTTTATTAATAATTGGGATTCTTTTTCAATAATCTAACAATTTTTTTTAAATTATAAAGAAAACATTTTTGATGGACTTGGCGGCGAATACAGATATAAATGGAATGAATTTCAGCAGCTGTTTGTTAACATTTTCGGCAACCAGGTCGAGTCACCAGACGTACCGAGAAGATATATTCGCATTAATCGAGATTAGAGGCTTTGAGACAGATGAAGGCTACGACAAATCAATGCAGAGATGGTGAACCAGATTGGAAGGCTGGTTAAATGAAATAGCAAGATTAGAATTGCTCGTAAATTAAAGGTATTATTGCTAATCGACACCAACTGTAACTATTACTAATGTTGTTCACGTATCAGAGCATTTTACTAATTATTTTACGTAAAAAAAATTTTTTTTTCAGAAACAAATAAAGCCGTCCTGTTCCCAGGCCAGTTGATAAATCAAAGAACAAAAACACAGAGACCGACTTTTTCTCTCCATGGAATCGGCTTAGACGCATGTGGATCGCTCACTTCGGTGTATAAGATGAATTTCCCGAAGGAGTTGGTCTAAAAGAAATACGAAAAGCCTTCAGGGTTTGCGAGCAATACGAAAATAATCCTGGAGTCAACGTTAACCAATGTGTCAATAGAAGGAGAAGTTTCAAAGATAGATAAGTCTTGCTGAAAACTCAACTCAAGAAAATGTCGAACCTGATAATTAAAGTAACCATGGTATCTTTAGCTAATTATCAATTTTTTATGAGACGACATTAAATTTTTGCGCTTTAACAATTACCAACTTTCTGACAACGATGAAGAAGTCGAGGCAAGCAGTGAAAGGTGCTCGTTGATTAATTTTTTTTCTGCATAGCTCCTATTTACAAACGCTTACCTTAATTATATTTATGAATCATGTATTATTCTGTTAATCCAGCATACAAGGTTGAGAGAAATAAATAGCTGGAGAAGGTTCAAGAGGAAATACGAGAACGACTTCTAAGGGTAATGTAATAAATAGAAATTTTCAGAAAGGAACTATAGTGACAATCATATCGATCGGTAGTATGGATCGATCGTTACTTCCTTGTAGGATAATCGAAAAATCAAACAGAAAATATCGATTGGGATGTGCTGGAGGAATTCTGAACGTCACTTATGGCGCCAATGAGTTAAATCTCACAGAATTAGCTGATTAGACGAAATACCTCAACGAATATGTAAGAGAGGCAGCAAGATATCTAACAGCATGCGACCGCTCAATCTTGTCTTCATAACGAATAGTGTTTATATATTATAGAAGAGATATAATTTCATAGATGCGTGATAGTAAGCACAACAAAAGATAGTATAATATAAAGCACGCTCGCTTATCAACAACACTCGCGTTAATGTATGAAATATGTGTTATCAGGATAACGATATTGCCTATGATCAATTATTTTTACACCAGTTGGAAATGTTTCAAATTTCAAGTTACGCTCCATAATATCTAACTTTTCTTCCGAATATAAACAAACCCAATAAAGACGTAATTCACGCTAAAATTGAGTTAACGTTAGACTAATTGAATACATTACACTGAGTCAATAAATAAATAAATAAATTATACTTACCTCATCGCTAATAACTAATTCTATAATAATGTCATCTTCAGACAAAACGTTAACTGCGCATGGTAAAATGTATTCAGCATATTTGTCTTTATATTCAATGTCCATATTATATTGTATTTCTTCAATTGATGTTTTTATTGTCTACAAATCAAATGTTTATATTTATAATACAATTAAGACTGTAATAAACAATGCTTACTACAATTGTAATTGTCATTGACTCCCAACAATTCCACAACAAAATGCTAAGTTTGTATTTATCTGGAGGTACTTGGAATATGGGAATATCTATTGTTAACTAATATATAATTGTTTATTAGTTAATATTCACAACATTATACAGAGTGTTAGACTATTATATTGATAATTAAACACTTACTTTCTTATTTGCATAAAAGTACATGACTATTAAATAATAAACATTAGTAAAGTAAGAATATTTTATAACAATAGTAATAGATATTATTATAAATTACTTACACCCCACATCTACTATTATGCCTATCTTCGATGTGACTTTCATATGCAAAATGTGCTTTCAGATGACCTAATAATAATAATAAATATAGAGGAATTTAGTATGCATAATAATATGTAAGTTTATGCAATCAAGTGTAACCCCTTACTTTTGTGCATATAGTATACTTTTTCAAAAAACGCGTCTGTATTCTTATAATTACATGGAGCATTGTTGTACTCATAATACCAAGTTACAGCAGTATTGTACCATCTGGTGTAATCATCTGTTACACACTGATAGATACATAGTAATTGCCATTGATTGATGTTATTTAACTTATACATACACATTGCTTTATGAGAACAACTATCCACAAGGAGTTTGAACCATTGCACATCAAACTGTTCAAGTTCATTTACATATTTGTTGATAACATTGAATGCCTGTCCTTGCATATACACATTATTAATATGCCCAATATCTTGTTCAGCCCCTTTCTTATTCCCCAAACCTACATGTGCCACTAAACTTAAATACCAAGCATCATTATAAACCTTGTTTGCTTCAACTGCTGTCTCAATATCAAACAGGGCTTTTCCAAAATCTTCCATTTCTATCTTGATCCCTGCTCTATTACACAGTGCCACATAATTTGTGGGATCAGTTTGTAATAATTGTGAATAGATATTCAAAGCCTTTTCCACCTTATCATTTTCATATGCAGTTTTAGCCTTTTGAAGCAATTTGTCTATATTTGGTGCTGTTCATGATTTCCAAATTGAATTCCATGTGGATCCAGAACCATACTTTCTTGTTCTGCTCTTTCTTTTTTGTTTTTAAGGTCATCACACTCATCAAATATTTTTGCATCTGTGTTATTTCCACCATTAGCAATACAATTGTCTTGATCATCAATGTCCATAATATAATGTTGAACATTGTTTGCTGTGGCATATAATACACTTGATGCTTTTTAATTTCACTTCTGCAGTAAGGGCACTCTAGGTTGTTTAATGATAAAAGAGCCTTTGAGCTAATAATATGTTGGCAATTAAGCTGATAAAAATCACCAACTGTTTCACAGACTATAGCACATGTTAGATCTTCTGCAATATAATCAATTGGGTTTTTCTCAACACCTTTTCCTTTGACTTTTCCCTTCCCTTTGTCTTGTTGCTTTTTATTTTGAGCACTTATTGTTGTTTGGTCTGGTGAGTACTGTAAAATCATTTTTGATTCAACATCTAATTTTTCTTTCAGGTAATAGTACATGCCAACCAATTTTGGTATATATTTCTCATCACATCCAGCAATATCATCAGCTGTTGTAACAAACAATTCCCCATTTTTGGCTTCAAGACTCAATAACACTTCAATTGATTTAAATTGAATGGAGTCTGTAATTGCATTATTCAATGAGTCTAATGCCATGTAATAACAAATAGCTTGTGTAGTTGTAGAAAATGTTTTCTGGATAAGTTGCTGGATAATGTCTAAAATGCCAAACCAGAGTTCATCACTAACATCCTGATTCTCTGCTGCATTTTCAGAGTAGCATAAACTGATGTGATACCAGAGATACTCAAGAAGTACTCTTTCTTTAAAACTTGTTGAAATGGCAGACTCTTGTTCACACCATTTATCAAGACCATCTTGTAGGATAATAAGCCTCCTCCAGGTTATGTACCAGGGCCTTCCTGATGGCTCAATGTAAAAAGCCTCTATGAAATACTTCCAGGATCTCTCTGTATCAAGCTCACCAAGAGGAACTTCAACTCCTGTAATTAATTTAATTCCAACCTTTGCTAATCCAGGAACAGCAACAAGTAAACCCTTTAATGCTGCAATGGCTCGATCAATACATGTCTGATACTGGTTATCACTACAAACAGCATTTAATGTATTCTTAATAAGTTTGAGAAGGTATCTACTACTATAATTGCATTTAAAGCTTTTGGTAGTTTTGTCTGATTCATTAAATTCTGCATAATCAGGTTTCCAAGTTTCTCCTCCATGTTGCATAATCCTTGAATGTGCCTTCTTGTACATGGAAGTGGCTTGTCTAATGTCATCAATAAACTGACATGTAAATTGACACTTCTTCTGACATATTTGCTCCAATATAATTATAATAATCCGTAATTGCCATTCCAATTTAATAACCGTTTCTCCTGAAAAGACTTTATCAAACTCTTGAGAATATAGACTATTCACAGCTGTAGTTAACACCTCCACTGGCACAGAGTCTCCTTTACGTTCGAGAATGTATTTGAGTGCATAAATATTCTCAGAATATTGTATGTCCGTTAACAATCCCTTTATTTGCGCACCTGCTGACATAAGTCCCTGTTCCATTAATTGAAGTATAATTTTAGGAAAACTGCCTCGAGTTACAGTGTTGCTCGGTGTTGAAGTAGATGTCATCGAGGGAGCACTAGGAGCACTTGCTGTTGGGAAGGTGTCTGATTCATAGCGGGTTTTTAAACTAGAACTCATTGAATCAGCTCCCGCAGAGGTAAGGGGAATTGAGCTTTCGACAAAGTAATAAACTCAATACTAATATGCCATTGTACAGAGTGTCACCTGATGGTCAATATTATTGGTTAGAAAAATTGTGTGTTACTGTTCTTAAGATTATAATAGTCAATGCGCAGCTGCCAATTCGTCTGTCTTCAAAGGTACATACTATATCCTTCCGTCAATTACCGAATTTTTGATGAATGTAAAATTACGAAGCTATGCCTAATCCGTTTCGTTTATTGCTCCTTGCAAAGGATGCATTGTTCTTCAATAGGTAATATGATAAACGCTTTTGTTCAATATCGCGCGATTTCTTTGCACGGAATACGTTTATTGTCGGCCCCCTAGCGTAAACCAGATAAACTGACAGGTAAAATCTGCGATTCTCTTCAATTTAAAATCTCAACTACGAAAACGACTTCAAAAATACATAAAATTTTATTACGACCGATAATAGATAGTAACATAGAATAAACGTTTTGTGGGTGACATTAACTAAGGTTATATTTGCTAAGCAAATGTTAAAACCATCTTGTTACCGTGTTATAGAACATCAGAGATAAATTTAAGTCAGAATATTGAGGGTGAGAACAGCAGGCTTCGTCTTTATTGTGAAAAGATACTGATTGATTGTAAATTTAGGATTTGAACGCCTTGTTCTCAATTC